CCTACAACCACCTCCTTCGCTTGCTCATGGCCACCACGGCTTCGAGCTCTTCACAGTCAGGGAGGACTCTCCCTCTCATCGACTGCCCCCAGTGCTTGGTGCCCGTCGTCAAGTGCAAGAGCAAACACGACAACTTCTACTACAAGTACCCAAACAGATGTGGTAAATTCTGGTTTGAGGATGCATATGAGCTATACTTGCATGATAATCATCCAAATCTTTTGGAGAGTACTTTTGGTTCTGGGCACAGTCCATTTGGTGGTGTTCAAGTCGTCCAGCAGCCTGCTGCTACTGCTGTTCAAGGGCTCCAGCAGCCTAGTGGTGAGTTGAAGATGGTAGCACTTGATTTGAACCTGCAGCTTGGAGACATCAAAGTGGAGATTGGCAACCTGAAGACTGAAATGAAAGAACTTAAGGATGAGGTTAGGAAGGGAAAGAATCCAATTGTGGTGGACAATGCAGCTGTTGTTCTTGTGATCTTGGCAATACTTGTTGATGTCCTGGTGTCTCTAGTGTGGAACAAATGAAGTCATGTAATGTAGTTGTGTCATATAGTGTTAGCTTAGAGTTTGGTTAGTTTTAGTGCACTCTCATGTAAGGATTGATGAGTTATGGTTGCTATTGGTCTGTAATTGGAGCTATGTTTCTATGCAATACATGAACAAGTTTCAGCAGCATTTTTGTCCAAACTTACCATTTCACAGAAAATTACAAGTTTTAGCAGCATGTTTGTCCAAACTGAGCAATTCACATAAACTGCACAGGAAGCATTTGACAAGAACAATTCACAGAAAATGCATAGAAGCAATTCACAAAAAATGCACAAAACCATTTCACAGAATATTTCACAGAAATATTACATAACTTGACATACTAGTTCCCAGGTCATGATAGACCAGTTCATATAAGCAATTATATACTCTTATAAAGCTAAACCCCACTAGAGATTTCTCTTAACATACAAGCTATCCACATCAACAATCCACTAGAACTTGCAATTATAGCCAACTATAGCACATGTAATTATGATAGTTATCTCTTCATCCACTAACATGCATTTAGCTGTCCACATCGATGTGTCAAACCATTCACCAAAATTAATTTAAGATAGTTTTATTCATATAACTACAAATATAAATAGTCTAATTTCTTTTTAAATTATCTGGAATCCTCGCAGCAACGCGTGGGGTATTCTCCTAGTTCATAGTGTCTTTAGACTAGTGCATCTCTTAACAGAAATATTACCCAGGCCCTCAGCAATCACTACAGATTGTTTTGAGGCCATCAACATCACAGACTATTACAAGTTCTTGTGCCCAAAATGATCAGAGACACGTACAAGTTTTTGTGCCCAAAAGTAGCACCCCACATTACAAGTTTTTTTGTCCAAAAGCAACTCAGACCGTTACAACATAACACTGTCAAGTAGACAGTCCTTCAAACACAATCTTTCTGATGCTGGTCACAACAGTGGGAGGTGGGTTTGCTTGTTCCTTTTTCAGTTTCTTCTTGACAGGTGTCTTCTTCTTAGTTGTGGTAGTCTTCTTCTTCTTCTTCTTCTTTCTTCTTCTTCTGTTTCTTCACCTGTGAGGGACCAACATCATCTTCTGTGCTCTTCTTCCTGGAAGCATGGAAATTCTTGTTAGTGGGTTTGAGTTAGCTGATGGTTCAACTTAATGCATTTAGTGAAAAAACCAAAATTGTCACCTTTTGTTCCTGCTTGCACCTCTTTCACCCTCTTCATCAACCTTTGCATCTTTGCAACTCTTTGCAAAATGGCCAAGTTCACCACATCTTTTGCATCTCACCTTTTTTTCTTGGTGGAAGCATGGAAATCCCGGTCCTCTGCCCAATAATGGTGGGTGCACTTTAATGGGGATCCCGATCTTTGAGTGATGGTAACTATCGTTGTGGCGATGGTTCAACTTAATGCATTTAGTGAAAGAAAAACCAAAATTGTCACCACAGCTCCTCTGGTTATCAACCCAGTCACCTCTTTGACCCCTCTTCAGGCTAATCTTTGCATCGAAGCAACAAGCAAGAACAAGAAAAAATGGCCAAATTGCAAATGTTCTCACGAGTTGGGGTCTCACAAATCGAAGCATCTCACTGTTTCTTGACAGAATTTCAAACCCTAAAGTAGGTGGTTTTTACTGATTATATAGCCTAAGGGACGTCCAAGATCTCTCTTCACGTCCTAAAGGTGTCCCACGTTACAAGGCCCAACGGCCCAAAAAGAAGGTGGCCTGACAGATTCTGGACGCTGACTTGTTTCGACGATTCCCATTGATTCCGAAGAGCTTTTGATGTGAAACCATGGATTGGCTTCCTTATCAAATTATCTTTCCATGATGTGGATCATCGAAAACGGAGTTCGAATGCGTCCTGGGCACAGACTGGTCCTGATGGCCGAGGCCATTGGACTGGGCCTCGGCTTGGCTTGGACGTCCTTGCTGGCCTCCTAAGGTGGTGGCCAAGGAAGAGGACGTCCAAGGCCATCTCTTAGGTGTTCTCCATCTTCTTGGGGCGTGCTCCAACTTGGGCCTGGGTCCCAAGGATATCTAACAAGCCCATGACGACAGAGTAGCTCCCGTCAGAAATAGCGACAGAATATATTGCTGATTTGGAGGCCTTGCCGACGTGATATTGAGATGGGACCAAATCTATTTGAAAGCTTATCAAACAAGCTTTCCATCAAGTGCTCATTGACCTCGATCGCACTCCGGAAGGATGAGTTATGGCCTTCCCAATGAGGCACTATCGGGCTGCCGACGAACCAAAAGTTCAACTTTGATGAACTTGCATGTTGAGACATATTTGTACCTACATTCAAATAGTGACATGTACATGTGGAACCAAGTGAATTATAACCAAAGCCACTATGCAAATATAGGAACGAGGGCACCTTATAATCATTGTTCGTATCTGAAGGTGCCATGTCCTCATCACACTTTGAACCCAAGATTCACTTCAGGCCACTAGGACCTATCAGGTATAGGTTCAACTCTGGTCTCATAAGCTTTCTTGAACTTGTCCACTGAGTAGTATTCATGGATATAATCTTCTATTTTGATCCCCCTATTGGAACATATCCATGCCAAAGCATGTCTGCAGGGCTTCCTAGTGACTTGCCACTCCCTACAAGAACATCTGTGATTTTGTAGGTCCACTGTATGGCATTTCTGGTTGTTCCATTGGTCCAAAAGGGTAACTTCGGCAATGTCATCATCACTGACAATCACTTTAATCCATCAAATTCATCAGCATCATGAACAGAATCATCAACATTAGCAGAGGTAGTAGTATGGTTGTTAGATGGATTTACATTGTAAGCTGCCTGTGCATTAGGAATAGGCATATACAGTCCCTCATCATCAACACCAATGTACTCCTCATCATTGTTAAACATGTCAGGTTCCCTGTCAGGCTCAAGTTCAGGCTCTAATGGATATTCTGCATCTCCACGAGGATTATCAGTAGGCTGGGCTGAATGGTTGTCATCAGGGCTAATGGAATCCCCATTCCCTGGTGGCAAATCTAGTGGAATCACACAAATTGGTTCTAAAAGCAGCAAACTCATCAGCCTCTCTAAGACAACTGTCAAAAAAACCTATAACAACTTCACAGCGCATCCGATCCTTATACATTTCAAACACATCATGCATCTGGAAATCATTTTCTAGCCCCACATCTTCACCCATCCTTTTGTCAAAGAACCATACACTAGGAGACTGGCTACTGGACCATTGAAATTCATTGCGCGGGCTTGTCAACGGCAAATCGAAGGAAAATGAACCTACTTCAACATCCTACTTAATCACGCGTCCCTTTGTGTATGCTTTCCTACCAGTACTGTCTCTGGTACAGAATCCTTCCAATTTAATCTCTAGTGAGAACAACGAAACCCTAGCAAAAAATCCCCAAATCTAGTCAAACACTAGCAATACAGTCTGCATCCCAAGCAAATCTAATGCCGGCGAGCTCATATGCGACAAAGGGAACAAGAGGAGGTAGAAGATCCATACCCGCCCTCGTCGTCCGCCATCTCCACCGGGGGCGGCTGCAGATCACCCATTGCGGTTAGCGGGGTGCATCGCAACGTGCCTTTGGCCTGGGTGCTTGTGATCGCCACTGTCTATGCCGCCCAAATTGGAGTCGCCGTAGCCGGCCTGGTCGTCACCTCGGGGTTAGGGTTTGGGACTGAGTGTGAGTGAGAAGAGGATGAGAGGGAGAGCGCCTGCGAGTGGGCCTTATCCACTTGACACGAGGGCATGCGCGTCCATACGAAAATAAAGAGCCAGCATATAAGCCTGTAGCGGGGCTCAAGATGTCTCCGAGCGTATTTTGTGGCGTTCCTATGAGGAACTCAAAGTTGTAATGGTATGGCTTCAAATAGACGAATAGTTCCTTCTCCAAAGTCTGAGAATTATAACGGTATCAATAAAAAAAATCTAAAAAGAATAGACGTATAGTCCGTATGTGCCTTTTTATTAATTGTACGCTATCTTTTCCTTCTGTTTGAGTGAGACTATTCAGCTCAGGTAGTGAGGTGAGCGATGAGTGGTTGTGTGTAGTACTACTTTTGACGTCACGATGTCTTTCGATTTGACGCACGTCACTTTAAGATAATTCGGTTTTGCTCGCTCTGGCTGTCCTGTTTCTTGTTTGCTCGCTTCGTACGTTATGCTACGTAGTAAGTACTATTCATCACCGGTTGATTTCTCTCCTCTTGACTGATGAATTGATATTTTAGTTTATTTGGTTATATAAGCTATATATTCAAATTCAATCAATCCGTCCCACAGATTGTATCGCCGCCGGGTGAGGTCAGTAACGAAATTCCAGATGATCAAGAGATTACTACTACTTGTTTGCTTAACAAAACAAGCAAGAACAAGAACAACATCAGGAGACGGGAAAAAAGAAGAAGAAAATGATCAGTCCAATTCGATCTATGCATGCATCTGGATTCTGGACCACGTGCTCCAGTACGTCTCCAGTCATGGCTGGTTGTTGTTGTTGTTGCAGCAAAGCTTCATCATGTCCGTTGGTGTCTCCTCTGTAGGACGGTTACCTTGCCGTGGATCGATGGTCACCTGCTGCACCTGCACTCCACGGCGCAGCCTGAAAACCATCCACGGCGGCCGGCGACGGCGCGTCACCAGCACGGCCTGGTGCTGACCACGAACGGTGTGGCGAAGCATGGCTCCAGGCCGATCCACGGCGGGCAGGTCGACGACGACGACGTGCCGGTCGGAGCCGGCGGGCCCGCGAGCGCCGCCAGGTAGATCGCTGCCAGCCTGCGGGCCGCGCGCCGCAGCCAACGCGCCGTGAGCCAGCGCAGCCGGAGCCTGCGCAGGATTCCCCGCCCGCGCCCGGCCCTGCAGTCGCCGCCGAGCCGGGCGACCGGGAGCCTCCGGCGGCGACGGCGGCCGAGACCGCGCCAGCGCAACCGGCGGCCCGCCGGCTCGACGTTGCATGGCGCGCCCGGCATCCCCTTCTGGCGGTCTGGGTCTGGCCGGCCGCTGTCTCCCTCTGCCCGTTTCCGTTCCTCCTCGTCTATGGTCTCTGTCTTTGGCTCGTCAGGCTGTGGCGTTGCGAGAGAGAGAGAGAGAGGGGGGATATATGGGGCGCCGGCCGGACCGTGGAAACCTCCAAACGCACTTATCGCCCTATAAGCTATATTTTTTTCAGTCATTATTTATCAGCCAATCAAACAGACACACAGGCGGCAGGAAACTTGCGTGGCCTAGCATGATGACGGGTTTTATGGCAACGATTAATTGCCTTCTTACTATGGCATAGTATATATATATATATATATATATATATATATATATATATATATATATATATATATATATATATATACACAAACTCCTCTATCTATCTTTATCTACTATATACGGAAAGCATTTTTATGGATATATCTAATTTATTTGTATTAATTGTCAACATGAGAGTGGCATGACATGATTTATTCTAAAAACTAGAAGAACGCCCCACGCTTTACTGCGGAAATCGTTGGTGAAATTATACTACTTATATTTACTAATATGATTGAATAAATATCATAATACATGTTAGTGAATGATTTTTAGCATTTTGATATGAACAACTAAATATATGTTAGTGAATAATGTGGTTTGCTAATGTGAATAGCTTGAATGAAGGCATAATGGTATGTGTTAGTGGATGTTGATATAGACTTTGTATAGCGAGATAGTTGAATGTGCTAGTGGATATTCTAGTGGACACTTTGCATGACAAGATAAATTTGATAAATTGCTAGTAGGGTTTATCTTTATAAGAGATATAGATATTCATAATGTATAATTTTATTTTAAGATAATGTTCTATCTAATCACAGTACAAACACATGTTGACTGGCACGTGGCCTACATTTTATATGTAGATTGTGGATATCTAATGGATATGCAATATTTTTTCTAGTGTATAACTTTATTCATAATAGCTTGTATTAGCATTTGTATGTAGATTCGAGGGATTTTTAAGTTTATCTTTTTATAAAAGTAGATTTTGGTAATTTTGATATAAATTAAATTGACTATTTATATTATTTTTTATAATGGTAGATGTGGCTAATTTATGTGTTACTTTGCATTTATCTTTGGTAATGGTAGATAAAAATTATGAGGTTATTTTAATTACCTTTCATAATATAGTAGATGTTCGTAATTTAGATCATAATTTAGAGGTTTATTTTTAGTTATCTTTTAGAAGGGCAGGCGTGGGTAATTTATAAGCAAACTTTAGATGATATTATGTATGTTTCATATTGTTAGATGTGGATATTTTTTTTGTAAAATAAAGTAGATCCCACGACTATTATTGGTGACAATGGTTATAGTCTACCAAATTAAATGCTTGGTATTTAATTTTCTAATTGTTCTATTTTTTCAGATTTATCTTTCTTATTAGCGCTTCTCATAAAGATTAATGTGGAGTCTCCTTTAATACTAAACTGTGGCCAATGATGCTACATGACACCTACTCCTCTATTCTATCTCATTTCCTTGACTCGTAATACCTAAGTCCTAACTTGGCCCATTCGCACAGGTCTCCTACGTCGTATGGTAGAGCTTCGGATGACATGGACTATGGCTCCTTACACTATATTGAGGAGCTATTTTTTTTCTTTTCTCTCAAAATAAAAAGGAGCCGATGAAACTATTATTTCTGGCTTCACTGGCTCTAGCTTCTTTACGTCCTGCTGTAGCAAGGAGTCAGAGGCATTGGAGCCGAACCAAATAGGACTTTAGGGCATATTTGGTACAGCTCAGCTTCAGAAGTAGTTTTTTTGCTTTGATTTTATAAAGCAGCTTCACCAGTGAAGGTAAAAGCTGTTTTTAGAAAATATTTGACAAAACGGCTTTTAAGCAAGATAGAAAGCTGAAAGAAGCTAGTATTTCCGCTTTCACACTATTTTTATTACAACCTGATTGATAGGAGAAGTTTAAAATTTTGTTTTGTAAAGCTAGTGCAAAAACTATCAAATTAAACACACGCTTAGGCTTAGTAATCACCGGTTGGCCATGTCATCGTGTACAGACTTTTTGTTCACTTATTAGGCGAGATGCCCTACGGGCTACGGCAAAAACAACTTAGCGAGTATAGCGACAGTGTCTGCAGCAAAATTGACCTATTCTCTTTTGTATTATTTTTGGCAGACAAACAGAGCCTCCAAATACGGTATGCACTGGCATGGATGCATGCTGTACGTGTGGATGCCTTTGGTTACCTGCTCGCTTGGGACTTGGGTGCCCTGCCCAACTCGTGAACCTTAACATCGACGCACCACTAGTAGGCTGTAGGCACTAGCGACTGAAAGCTGAGTTTACCCTATTTAACATTTTTTTTAACATTGACGCATGAAGTACTGCATGATGCATAAAAAGGAACACGTACGTTTTACTCGAACTGATGAGGCACACGCACATCTATATATCCGGCTACCCCCCACCCCGGATCGAGAGTCAACTACTCAGAAAGCAGCCAAAAGCCAAATTTGCTGCTTCGGTTAATGGTGGCTAGCTTTCGCGCGTCATGCAGGCAAGCGTTTCGGCTTCCGTGTGCAGAGTTGCACTGCAGGGTGCATGACTGCTGATGAGGATGGCAATATTGGCATCCATCCACAGCGGCCGGCCAGTAGCTGAGCATGCCTAGGTACGCCTCCCCGCTGCGGGCTGCGGGCTGCGGGCGGCTCCTGTGTTTGACTCCCGCACTATCTATGAACTATGATAGACTTCGTTTGGATAGATAGACATTACAGATGGATAGGGGTAGCACATAGACATAGCAGCGCGGCAGGCCTCGTTGCGTGCAAGTGCAACCGAGCTGCTGAAACTGGAATCCAAACAGATGAGCAGAGCATGAGGATGTGTGACGTCCGCGCAATGCTTGGGGGCTTGGGGCTTGGCGTGAAATTCAGACACCTCACTGCACCGCGGTAGGGCAGGAGTGTGGTTGGTAGGTGAAAGATGGACCGAAAGGCGGGGAACAACAAACCTGCTGTTCTTGACCTAATTTGCTTATTTCAAACGCGCACTAGCTTCTAGCTAGAGCAAAGTTGCCCTGGAGAAAGGAAGTACTACAATCTCGCCCTCTCTTTTACCGCGCCGCACCTTTTTACTCTCTTCAATTCAACCTCCAAATTGTTCACTATGGGAACAGGTCAAGAAATTAACGACAGGCTCCGAAAAGTACTAATAATGAATTTTTTTTACAGATACCGCATACCGGAGCGGGGCCAGTGGAAATAAGTACTGTAGCAAACAGACACTCGCCAAAGGTTGATGCACAAGTTTTTTTAAAAAAAAAATAGGGTTGATGCAGACACTAGCGAGTCCTGAATCCGTTCTCCAACAGATTGTGAATTTGTCCCCTGAATTCATTCCATTTCATTTTCAGCGGTCATGCTCATGCCCTGCTGCCTGCATCCGCGGATAGCTGAAACCAGCAGCCAGCCAATTACAGCCCAACTGTTGAGGATATATGTTTTGACCAGTGTTGTAAACTGCCACAGGCAGTGAGCGCGCCCCACCACGCGCACGTCGTGCGCTGAGTGTAGAGAGGACCGGCTGCCTAAGAGGCAACCTCCCTGACTGTAATCCATATAGATCAATACACAATTGTGTTGCTCCTATTATTCTCTTCTACACCAACACCACGCATGCAAAAGAGACGATGCAGTGCAAGGGCCGGCCGGGACCAGGCATCATCCTGGCCGCCGGTTTGTCAACGGAAAGCAGCAACAGCGACACGGCCACGGGCTCGGCGCCAGCACACACCCGCAGCTAGCTAGCTCAGGTTTGTTGATTCATTTGCATTGGTCCCATACCCCTTCCATGACAGGAATAGCAAGCATGGACGAAAGGAGGGCCGATCACTTCTAGCTTTGTCCATGGCGGCCGCCAATTTTCTCCTCTGATTGATAGTGATCTGCCTTTTGCCAGTGTTGTCAGGTTAGGTTGTTTGCATTGGGCCTGCTTTTCTGGTGCTCAAATTTCTCGGAGTGGTGCCGAGTATGCATCCCCGTCAGGCGTCAGCTACTCAGCTTGTCCTAATATTCTCTCTTTCTCTCCCTTTTGGAATGGAAGGATTGTGTCCTTTTACCGCCAAACTTTAACAAGCAGAACCCAGTGGCAAAGTCGCGTCATCGACCAGTCACTTGTGTGACTGATTCCTTGTTCTGATAATTGGTCCACTACAGTTCAGAGATGCTTGAACGACAGAGAATTGTATCGGAGAAACCGTACCGAAGCAGTGTTCAAAGGACCGATACATGGGCCGGTTCAAGGTTCAAGCCGGATCAACCCGTGAAACCAGCCCATATCAAAACCTATCTATAAGCCCAGTCTGAGTTGGTTTGGATAAGGTTCAAAGTCGCTAAACGCCGAAACCGTACGTGGAGGTGGAGGCGATCTTGGCGGTGACGGTGCACAGGACAGGATCATCTTGGCTAGCTGGTGAGTGGCGACGGGGCTTTGGTCTTCTCGACCAAGGCTGAAGATGGGGCTGTGCGGGTCCATCTTAGCCGGCATCGATGGCTCGCGATGGCAATGTGTCATCACCGGTTCAAAATAAAAAATCGGACAACGGTTTGAGAGGAAAAAAACGACAGTGAAAACTAATGTTTTCACCGTAGGTTTTCTCTAAACCAACGGTAAAAATGATTTTCACTGTCGGTTCGCTAGAAAGCCATAGCTGTACCGTCCATGTGCTAACCCACCACCAACATGGCATGTGATGTGCCTTTTGGAAGTTATTGACAGGTGAGGACCATAAGCCTACATGGTGCTCCGGGATTGACTATAGGGCATAGACACAGATCCACGGCCCCATTATCCTCTCCCTCTCCCTCTGGCTACCTCCCTAGTCAACCACAACTACTTCCTCCCCTCTCTCTCCCTCCCGGCGACACTAGCTCCGAGGACGACCATCGGAGCATCGTGCGGTGTAGTGTGGCGCGCAGCCCAACTACGGCGATGCGACAGTATAACTGCATCAACAATCATTAACCAATACCCTTATACAGTTATACTAATTGTATAGGTGAAGTAGCAGGGGTGGAGGCCTAAGGGCGACTACACGATTGTGCTATTGGCGAAGAGATGGGCAACAACTTTGTTGTGCGAGTCGAGGTCGGTTGGTAGCACCCGGGCTAGGCAGCGCTTGATGCCCAGCAAGTGCGGAAGGATCTGCGCGCCATGTGCCCAACAAGCTAGCAAGGGCTAACCGAGGCCCGAGAGGAAAAGGAGGCGACTAGTCCAGGTCGTCACTTGGTACTTGCTAGCCAATAGGTCTCAAGGGGCTGATGACCAATGGGGGGGTGCGCTACTACACTTTAGGAGAATAGAGGGTGACACGTCTACGTGGTCAGGGCTCAACCGCTCGAGAGTAGGGGCAAGACAAGCAATCCATCTATTAGGTTGGACTTCTAGTGCCAGGTAGGGTTGTACTTGGACTCTAATAATGAGGGGGTACTCGAATGTTTTTGGTCTCGCCCGCACTTGGACCCCCTTAGCCCGGGACATAGGTCTGCCCCTTGTGGGCGTCAATGTGTTGCAGCCCGTGGAGGTAAGAAGCCCGGCGCTAGTGACATCTTGACTCATGTTGAGCACCGCAGACGAGATGGCTGATGCAACTATAACTGCAGCTAGAGTTGTCGTCAAAGTGGAGGAAACCCACGATGTGGGATCATCATAGCGGTGGTAAATGGCGGTGAAGTGTCTGGCATAGTAGTCGGGGCATAGTAAAATGGCAAAGTGGTTGATGTCGATGACACTGATGACCTAGCGCGTAGATGTAGCTCGCTCAGAGACACAAGGCTCAGGGTGCGAGTCATCCCGCCGGCTTCTCCTCCATCAGCGCATCGACGTATCCCACCGTCAGGGACTCCACATTTGTCCATCTTCCACATCAATTGATCCATGTTCTAAGATAGGGTATATATGGTGATAAATGTGGACTTTCACCGCCTGGATACAAAGAAGAGATGGTGACGGAGAACCCCGTGCGCCACCTTCATCGTGACCGCACGGGCAACTGACGGAGGGATCTAGCAGCAGCGAGGTTGAGGGACGCAGGGGAGGGGTGAGGTGGCACGAGTGTGAAGTTCCTCCAATGTCACTGTCGGCTAACAAGATTAAGCATTAGCATAAGCCAAATTTCAGGGAAATAAACAGTTGAAGGAGAGGGGCAGGGGGGCTTGAGAGATGAGAACTAGGCTTGAAGCCATAATTTAATCAAGTTCCAAGGATCCCTAAACCACTCAAAAAAACAAATCAAATACAGATCAAGAATGACTCCAAAAATAGAGAAAAGGATAAATTTCAGATCATGAGAGAGGAAAATAACTATATTGTGTCTGGAAAGAAAATTAATAAACTATGGTGAAGCTTCGTATTGGAACCATGTTGCCCTCCATTCCATTCCATCGAGTTGATATTTGATCGGTGGGAACTGGGAAATGGGAAGCTTGGGCGTGGAGTTCGATTTTGTGTCGACAGAGTGATGAGACCCTCGACTGGGGACGTGGGACGCGTTTGCTGCGCTGGCCGCTGGGGGGCTCGCCGGCTGGGTCGTCGCCGCGATGGCCCGACAGGTGATGAATCAGCGTCGTCATCTATGTAACCCCGTGCTAGCGGGCAGCCGCAACTCTTGGTGTCACTGAATAAATGTCGCAATTGACGTGTCCTCGCCGACACGCCGCCCTGCCTGCCATGCCATCCATAAGCCCAGGGAAAAGTCGACTGAAAGTGAACGCTTCCCTTATTAAGCTTAGCTAGAGCGAGGCTTGAAAAAAAAGAAATCAATTCACTCCATTAATCTTTTCGTACACCTCAGCACGTAGTATAGGCTTGAAAAAAGAGAGAGAGAGAGAGAGAGGAACAAAGCTATTTTTTATACAGAATTAGCAGGCTGACACTATACAGTGGAAGGAAGGAATGAAGGAACCAACAACACTGCAGCAGCAAGTGTGATGTTGCCCCGTCCGCTCACCCAACAACCGAGCTGTCGGTCACGCTGGCGCGGGCCGCGACGCAGCAGCAGCCGCCGCCACCGCCGGAGCCGCCTCCTGCTCCTCCTCGGCCTCGGCCTTCCCCGCGGCCGCCGCTCGCCGCCGCTGCCGCGCGCGCAGGGCCAGCAGGAACGCGGCGAGCGCCGCCTGCATTGCGACGGCCACGCCGGCGAGCGCGATCCCGAACCGCTCGCCGAAGTTGAGCCGGCGCCACCACGCCGACGGAGCCGGAGGACGATGGCGCGCGGGCCCGCCTCGCTGATGCCCCGGAGGCTGTCGGGCGTGGGTTTCGTTGTTCCCGGACGACGCGGCCTGACGCGGCGGCCTCCTCAGCGGGGGCGGGTGCTGGTGGTGCGGCGCCGGCGCGGGAGCTGGGGCTGGGGCCGGGGACGGTGAACTCGCGGCGGACGCGCTGGGCAGGGGAGGAAGCTGGGAGGAGAGGAGCAGCGGGGCGAGGAGGGCGGTGGCGGTCAGCAGGGCCCGGACGACGCGCGGCGCCATGGGGACTGGGGAGGCATTCGGCTGGGGTGGAGCTGCCTGCAGCTGCAGCTACTGATGGAGTCGAGTCCCTGCCTCTGCCTGGACTTGGATGCGGAGTTATGAGCGGAGCGCGACGCGGTTCTGGTTTCCAGCTTGTGGTGCTGGTGCGGTGTGGCTCCCTCGCCCAGTCGCGCTTGCCGTACTCATACTGGTACCACCGTGCTGTGCTGGTCCGCGGAATGAATGGCTGCGGCTAACAGGCCGGCCGCTCTGCTTTTTTTTTTAAATAATGGCAGGAGTTTATATACAAGTAAAGGTAGCCAAACGTGTCGCTAAACACCATGAAAGGCTAGCCCACCTACACAACACGATAGAATACACACTATCATGAGTCATCGTTGCCGAGCATGGTTGCAAAGCAGCCAGCAGCTCCGACTTTCCATGGCAAAACACCGACGACCCATCCTAAGATGTCAGGCCAACGGGTCCAAAGCAGGAGGCTGCAACAGGTCATCGTTGCTTAGCTCAACGGCTTCGCGAAGAGCAGCTCTGACTTCCTTCCTTGATCCCACGCCGCCCGCGGCGATTGTCGAGCCTCTAAAGCTGAAATCCAGCCGTCAGAGATGGAGGGTTCGACCTACGTCATCGTTGCCGAGCTACATCCCCTGATGCAGCAGCTCCAACTTCACGATGTAGTACTCGACGTCTCGCGTCAACCGGGCGCCGAGAGGCGGAGGACATCCGCCGAAGGAGACATCACGGCCGAGACAAATTTCCACAGTGACGCCTTTCAGAAGGGTACGATGCCGATTGCGCCGCTATCGCGAGGAATGGACCGGGTTTCCATCCGTGGAAGACATGGCTTGGGGCACGAGAACACGACGCCCCCAACAAGGAAATCGGCGCCCACAGGTGTCGCCGTCGCCAAGGCTTTCGCCCGAGGTGCCCCTAGCACATACGTCGAGCCAAGATGCTGACCCGAGCCCGCTCGCCGCCATCGTGCCGCCATCGCTTAAACCGCAGATGCCCCTCGAGAGGGGCATCGGCGCATCGGCCGCGCCACAATGACCGCAGCCACCGCTGCGTCGGCCGCCACTCATTCCGACCGGGCAACATGCAGAGCTAGACTTACCCTGCCACGCGCGTCACCCTGCCGCACACCGAAGTTGTCTACAGCTGTCGTCGCCGGCTCAAGCACCCGCCATCGACGCTACCGACCTCTGCCAGCCTCCATCAGGCTCATGCGCCACCACGGGCGCCGCCCCCTGCCCTGGGGGCACTAGATCTGGCCGTTAGGGCGCCAGACCCAGTGTCCTCGGCTAGCGCTGCCGCCTCCACGCCATGGTTGAGGAGGAAAGGGGGAAGCGGAGGAGGAAGAAGGAGCCCCCGCCATCGCCCAACGCTTGCACGGGCACTAGCCAGCGCCGCCGCAGCCGGTGGCCCGCCGAGCCCCACGCGGCTCGTGCGAGGGCACGCCCGCCGTCTCGCTACTGCGCACGCCACCAACAACTGCCGAGCGTGATGAAGAGGAAAGGGCCCACCCCAAGCCAACGCAGCCACCACCGCGTGCGCCCCTAGGCGCAGCGCCTCGCACCACGAGCGCCGTACCTATGGATCTAGCGACTACCCGGTGCCTTGGACAGGAGCCGCCGTCGCCCAGCGCTCGCTCAGGCGCGGCCCGCCGGAGATCCGCATGAATCTAGTCCTTGGACCGCCGGATCCGGACGTCGAAGCGAGGAGACTGCCCCAGACCGCCTGTCAGTGCAGAAAGTGAACAACACGTAAATATTTATAGTTTTGTTGTACGTTGTGATTAGAGGTGGCCTAGCACTCAATAACATAGGGTTTATACTGGTTCAGGCAACATGCCCTACGTCTAGTTTGAGTCAGTCGGTGACTTTATTCCTGAGCCCAGCTGCTCGAAGTTTGCTGTGGGGTTACAAACGGAAGGGAGAAAGATGGGGGGTACAAGAGATCCGGTCAGACTCTAGTTTAAAGGGCCGAGAGTGACAGGAGCCCCGCTATGTGCTAAGTGTTCAAGCGTGTGCTTGTGTTTTGAACCTGGTGGTTCTGTCGTTGTGTACTAGTAAACTGATCGATCTGAATGAATTGTCTTTTGGGAGAGAGCGCATCCCCTTTTATAGATGAAGGGGATGGCCTTACAAGTGAGAGGGAGAGAGTACGTACACTACTAAGTCTTGCTGCCACGCCGGCGGGTACAAGATGATGGTAGGCATCCACAATACTATTTAATGTCAGATGCACGTGGGAGGTTGCGTTGTCTTCTTCAGGTATGGCAGACGTCGGTGCCTGGCATAATGTTGATATCTAGAGGCATGCAAGGGGTTTTACCATGTTCGCCTAGCACGGTAAATGCCGGCGCCCACAACACTATTGATGCCTCATAGGCACATGGGGGGCCTTGCCGTATTTGTCTGGTATGGGAGTTGATGGCGCCCACAACACTGTAGGGAAAAATATCGGCGCTTACAACACTGCTTCGGTTCTGTCATGCCAGGGAGGTCATAGGGTACTGTCCTGCAGGTGTTCAGGGTACGGTCCTTGGTATTGCGGTTGACTTGAGTGCCCTGCCTTACTCTCTCCATCTGTTTCCTAGTCCTTACCGAGCGGGCGTCCCCGGCCGGTTGGTCCCAGTCGGCTCTGATTGTGCCAGTTGGAGAAGAGGAGTGAGCAGGGGTTTGGGAGATCCCCAGTCGGAGACGCAGGTCAGAGTCGAAAGTGGTGTTTGGCCAGGCCTTTCGGTCGGAGAGGCCGTCCGGAGGCGGGCTAGAGTCGGAGGCGAGGCCTTCCAATCGGAGAGGTGGGCCACAGTCGGAAGCGGGCGCCATTCCTTCTCGGCTAGGCCTTCCGGTCAGAGATTGGATTACCCTTCTATGTTGTTTTAGGTATTTGGGCCAGCCCACGAGTTGTGCGTCGTTTGCAACATTGTCTGCTGGGCCGAGCCTTTGTTGGAAAGCTGGTCCCTGAGGGACCCTAGGTTTATGAACCCGACAGGAGCCCCCGAACCCCCGGGCGATTCAGGTAAAATCATCTGGAGGATCTTTGTCTTTGACAGTGGGTGCGCGTGAGCGCACACGCGGGTGTAGCGCCCGAGCCCCCGGGCGATTCGGGCAGAATCGTCTGAGGGCTTTTCATGTTGCCGGCGGGGGAAGTTTTGTTTTGTTAGCGAGTGCGCGCGAGCGCACCCACGGGTGTAGCCCCCTGAGCCCCGGGCGATTCGGGCTGAATCATCTGGGGGGTCTTGTCAGCGGGCGTGTGTGCGTGCATTTTAGTCGAGACAGAGTCGTCAACCAAGGTGTCGTGCGCAGCTGAGGCGTTTTTTTGGGATCGGGCAAGACGGAGCTCCCAGATCCTGGCGTTGGTGAAGCTCGCGCGGCCGAGACCGTTAGTTTAGGGATCGGGCGAGATAAAGCTCGTGGATCCTGGCGTCGGTGCAGCCCGCACAACCAAACCCAAGGCAGTTAGTTTTTAGGGATCGGGCGAGACGGAGCTCGTGGATCCTGGCGTCGGTGCAGCTCGCGCAGTCGAGGCAGTTAGTTTTTAGAGATTCGGGCGAGACGAAGTTCACGGATCCTGGCGTCAATGCAACCCGCGTAACCGAGGCAGTTAGTTTAGGGATCGAGCGAGACGAAGCTCGTGGATCCTGGCGTCGATGCAGCCCGCGCAGCCAAGGTAGTTAGTTTAGGGATAGGGTGAGACAGAGCTCGTGGATCCTGGCGTCGGTGCAGCCCGCACAACCGAGGTGGTTAGTTTAGGGATCGGGCGAGATGGAGCTCGCGGATCCTGGCATCGGTGTAGCCCGTGTAGCCAAGGTAGTTTTAGGTGTCTTGAGCCCCTGAGCCCTGTTTGGGCTTGATAGGGGTTGGTTGAGTTTTGTACGTTACCCCATCCGTGGTTTCTCACAACCGGAGGGGCTGAGCTAACATCGCTTGCCTGATGGCTCGGGTTCGAGTGACGCGCTCGGTGAGCTTGCTAACGGGTATGATCGAGTGGAATCGGGCCCGTTGTTCATGATAGGGTCGGCATAGCCCTCTTGTGACATTCCACTGCTCCTTAACCTACAACCCGGTAGATGCCTAGGTCATTCCAAAGACCGACCCGGATGGCCTGCTGGCCTCCCCTCAATGGAGATTCTATGGGTTTAGTGAGGTTTAGGATCGAACAAGAAGGTTGAGATGACCATGTCTGCTTTGGGGTAGACTAGGCGAGGGCCGCTCGGGGCTCATTTACGTTTTCTCCCTTGGCTCTGTTTGACGCAAGGCGGCCTTGATCTCTTCGTGGGTCGGCCTTCGAACCTCGGTCGGTCGTCGCTCATGTTGAATGAGGCAACTACCGCTTCATGACGCAACACGGAGCGTTGTGATGCATTTGACTGCATATGCTATGCTTTAGCCCTCAAGCCCCCGGGTGATTTAGGGTAGAATCATCCAGGGGGCGCGGGTGTTTGGAATGAATGCGTGTATGGATGTATGAATTATTATATAAAGAAAGAGCGGGGGTTGGTAATGTTACCTTGATGACTTGAGTGACGGGGTTTTAAGAGCTTCAATCAAAAATGTTCGACCGAGATCTGTGCTCATCGTTCGTGATGGAGTCAGCATGGCCCACATGGGGTGTCCCTTTGCTCCTTACCTGTCTCTCGGTGTTTGCCTGAGCCATTAGATTAGACTCAGGAAGCCCGTTGGTCTCTCCTAGCGGAGATCTCGTTGTTTGGGTCTTTCCAAGTCCCTACCTAGGAAGGCGGAGAGCCACCTGTGTGTGGTGGCGCTTTGTTTGTTGTGCCCGGCGTGCGGTAGTGGTGGGTCATACCCAGGCCACGTCCCGTCTGACCAGGCGTCGTTCCATCTGGCAGGGTGCGTCCCATTGGTTAGGGCGCGTCCCATCGTATCCCATCCGCATTGAATGGGGAAGGGAGAGGGGTTTTCACCCCCGTCGTTTCACCTTTCCCTGATCGCTATGCTTTTTCCCAACTATTATGCCCCTTTTAAGTAGGAGAAGGG